AGAGAGAGAGAGAGAGAGAGAGAGAGAGAGAGAGAGAGAACAAGACAGACACAGAAACTTAAACAGAGATCTAGGTCTCAGGCTGATCTAAGCTGCTCCAGGGAACAAAGATATCCAGTATTTATTCCTAACAAGTGTGAGAAGGAGGGGAGCAGGGTATGCTTTGGAACATCTGGTGATAGCAGGCATTGCAGGCAGGACTGTAAAAGGGAAGCACTAGTATATCTTGCTGAAGAGAACAAATGGGTAATTCAGAGGGAAAGAATTTAGTTGGAGTCAGGCTGACCTTGGCTGGAAGTTAACTCAACAGGGCTCAGCTACTTCATGTACTAGGAGTTAAGTCTCGGTAGCAGCCATTAGCGGAGGAGCTATACTCGCCCTACTCTGCTATCTGACATGCCCATTTGAGTCACATAAAGCTTTGGTTGGACCCCTAATACAGCCAAATTATGGAGAGGAAAGAAACTTGTGCCACTTATAGCCTGCTAATACTGGGCAAGGATGTCTGCTACAGATGTAGCTCAGTGACACAGCACCTGCATGAAGCTCTAGATTCAATCCCCAGTATGGGGGAAGACGAAAGAAACAGGTTTCAGGCAAAGGATCAAGAATTATCACTGTAACTCTCAACAGAAACTCTGGAAGCTGAAAGACAATGGAGCAATATCTCAAAATTCTGTTGGAAAATTATTTCCAATCTAGAATTCTATACTTGGCTGTATTCGTCATAGAATATTAAGACTAAAAATATTTTCAGACATAACAAGTCTTTAAAAATTACTTCCAATACTTTTCTCAGGAAGCTACCGTAGGATATGTTCCACTAAAATAAAAAAATAAACTATCACAGAAGAAGAGGGGTCCAGGAAACAAAATAACATAAAAGCAAGGAGAATCCTCAGAAAAAGAGAGAAGAAAAATCCTCAAACTGAAAGTGTATCATAGGGCTAGAAACTAAACTGTCCATTTCTGATTGAAATTTTAAAAAAAGATGAGAGAAGAATCAAGGATTACTTCCAGGGTGCTGGCTTGGACTTTGTAAAGAATCGTGTAATTGGATGCAAAATAGCACAGAAGCATCAGCTGTAGTGCAGACCTCCAGTTTTGCATACCAAAATCAGGTGTGCTTTTGGACATGTAAGGTTGCAGAGGAGATGGAAAGGATGTGCTTACCCAGGCATAGCAGCAACATAGAGCTGTGTGCTATCAGAGTAAAGATGGCAATGTATGTTCACAAAGTAGAAAAGATTACCCAAGAACAAATGTAGAATGAAAAGGAAATAGGGCCTAGGGTAGAGCCCCACAAATTCCCAGATTTTAAATGGAACAGAGGAAGAACTAGCAAAAGAAGAGTCAGAGAGACAGGAAGAAAATGAGGGGAATGTGAATTATCATGAAGGCTAAGAGAAGAGATTGCTTCAAAAAGGATAGCACAAGACCAGGGATTTAGCTCAGTGGTGCTGCTGCTGCCTGCCTTGCAAGTGCAAGGTCCTGAGTTTGATCTCTGGTACCAAAAAAAAAAACAAAAGAAGGATAGCACATTCATTAGTCAAGGGAGAAAAAGAGTTAAAAGTGTCCTGCAAATCTAGTGACATGGAAGTCACTACTACAAGAGGAACAATTTTTACATATTAGATTCTCCAAATATTAAAAGGATTAATTTTATAGTTATCAAGGTATAGAGAAATGGCACTGTCATGGTTGGAGAAGTGTTTGGCTAAGCATACAATATATATCAAACATAATATATATATTATATATATAATCTCTAACCCAGAAATTCTTTCACATATTTAATGCAAAAATATCCAAAGCAGCCTTTTGTGCAAAATTTGGGGTAGGAGAAAGGAACTGTATCTTTATCAAGTGGAAATGGGGGAATAAATTTAATTAAGTAAATGTAACAAATGGAAGCCTATGCGGCTGCTCATAAATGAAGTAGATATCATTACACTAACATAGGATGGTATCTGTGTTATATGAAGCAAAAAATCAGTATATGTGGTTCTCAGGTTTCTAGCACCATACATAGTAGAAGATACGTATGTATATGTGTTATAATGATGATATAAATATGTTTATAAATGCATTGATAAGAAGACAAAATAGTAAAACTTTCAGAAGTGAAATCTATGAAATGGGATTTGGGAGGCAAAGGAGGCTTTCATTTTCCCAGTGGTTGAATTTTTTTGTAAAAATGTATTACTTTATCAATTTGGGGGGGATGGTACTGGGGATCGAATTCAGGACCTTGTGCTTGTGAGGCAGGTACGGCCCCATTGACCTAAATCCCCAGCCCTATTTTATCAATTTTTAAAGAGAATAGGAAAGGATAAAACAAAAAAGCATCTGCCAAGACAAGAGTATGGCAGAAATCTGAATGGCCAGCTGTGTGACATCTTACCTTTTTTGAAACATATTCTTCACATAGACTGTGTTGACAAAATCTGTTAATTGAAATTCAGGGCAAGATGCTTCATCTGTTTTACAGTCTTTGTAGTGCATAGACAGAAACACTTTGTTCAGAAGTTGCAGCACTTGTGAATGGGCCATGTTGCTTGCTGTGCAGATGTTTAGGAGTGCACTCCAACCATTTGATACTAAGGGTTATTCCCCCTATACATTAATAAAAAGGTAACTAACAGTTAGCAGCAGGGAACATAGAATAAACCCCAACCAGTGACTAGAACCCACTTTTTTGTCAATACAGGTTGGTAATATGGACCTCAAGGTAAGTAAACAGTCTTTCCTCCTAGGCCAACAGCTCTATCTGCCCCTTATAACACATCACATGTTAACTATACCAAAGAAGGACAGATGCCACTAATGTAGAGATTCCTAATGGCAAAAGTTCCTCCAGGATGATCTTTCCCAATGAGAGAAAGGAACTAGGGCAACTGTAAAATTACAACAAGGAAAAGCCATTTCATCCCTGGACATTGCATTTGCCTGTTTAAACTAGGTGTTTCCAGTTCTTCCTCAAGGGATCAAATAATTAGTCCTCTCAACTCTTCCTAATAAAGGCTGTTTCTACCACCACTGTTCCCACACCAAATCTAAATGCCAGAAACTGTGTCTAACTTGTGCTCCACCCACCGCTCCCAACACACAGAGTAGGGATTTAACAATACAGTAACTCATTAAGGGGGAGACATTTTTTTAAAGAATGCTAGAAGTATAGTGAACTATTACCAGCAGGACTGTAAGGGCAGGTAGCCCAAAGAATCACAGGATCTTGGAGAGCAGCTGTGATTTCTTTATTGGCCCCCCAGATATTGTCAAAATCCTCAGCACACTGACACTTAGGCCGCAAAATATTGGGGGTGTTCAGTAGGAGTTTCAACCTGGAAGCCACCAAGACAGGGAATGGGGTACTAGGTCTGGAATACATTCAACCCCAGCAAACAGATTCCTGCACTGCACTGCACAGAGACAAAGCAGGTCTGGATCTGTGCTGAGGTCACCAATTAGTTAGATTGTTCATCCATCCACCTAACAAACACTTATTGAATGTTATAATGTGTCAAGCACTGTGACAGACACTACAACTACAAAAATAATATTGGACACATTTTCAGTAATTTTTCATGTTGTTAGCAGGTAGTTTCTCTACTCATTGGTACACAGAGGAATAGTATTAAGCTCCACATAGTGGGGTGGTAATATGTTAAGTTCTATATATTTGTATAGCAAAGAAAATATCCCACTCACAAGTACTATTTGGGGGAAATGGGGAAGACACAACTGGAAATGTGAGTTGGACCGTTCTGCAGTCCAAGTGGCCTCCTCCTTATCACTGTAATGTCCAAACTCCAAAAGGTAGGGTCTATGGTGGAGGTGGGAAGCAGAAGTCAAAGGCAAGGTGAGCACCAGTTCTGTTCTCATTCTAACAAGATACCTGGGGAGTGGGATGGCAGCTACAAAGCTGTACACAATGCAGGTCTTCTTAAGGCTGTATTGAATTTCTAAGCAGATAGGAGGCAGCTGAGATGGCAAGCAGCAGAGGAATATCACGTTGGCCCAAACTACCAGATAAGAGTTATGGTAGAAGCACTGGATCCCCAATTTCTGGAACTCAGCTGGGGAGGATAAGGAAGGACAGAAACAGCACAGTACAAAGGATTTTTATCCAAACATCAGTCATGGGGAGGGGATGATCTTTATTTTATCTCAGAAAGTAACCCAAGCATCATTGTCAAAAAAACCAGAAGATACTCCTATCTGCCTTCTATAGCTATGCAGGAATGCCCTAACCCCATTACTAAAGCAGCTGGGGCCACTGCTTGAGATTATAATTCACCTTTAGCTTACTATTAGACCAAATGCTAAAATTTTTCAAAAATTTTAAGGAAGAAAAAAACCTCTACGAAACCTTTGGATTCAATTTACTAAAGGATTATAATGTGCCAGATAATGTACTTTATTACATTATTTAAGGTAAAGACTAATAGTATACACATATCACAGATGAGAAAACTGAGGCTTCAGAAGGTCTGGCTTCAGGAAACTATGTGACTTGCCCAAAGCAACATAGCTCACTGGCTTAAATTGGTACGAGTAGGAGAATGGAAGAGTAGAAAGTAGAGACTGGGCAAAGTTTGGAAAGGTTTCCCAGTTTCTCTAAAGTATATACAACTTAATGTTAATAGGATTTTTTTTTTTTGGAAATGTAGAGCAGGTATAATGGTGCACACATGAATCCCAGCACTTTGAGAAGCTGAGGCAGGAGGGTTGCAAGTTTGAGCCTAGACCGGGAAATTTAGTGACTTACCAAAATAAAAAGAAAAAGAAAAAGAAAAAAAAAAGAATGGGCTGGGATGTAGCCCAATGTGAAAGCCCTGGGTTTAATCCTTGGTAATGAAATAAATAAATAAATAAATAAATACACTTGATCTTAGCCAAAAGGTCGAGAAGTGATAAAGACAATTTAATGATTCATTTTTTGTTTTTCTGTTTTTGGTACCAGGATCAAACTCAGGTCCTTGCACTTGCCCAGCAGGCAGCGAAACCACTGAGCTAAATCCCCGGGCCCTAAATAAATAAATAAATAAATAGTAGAGAAATGTGATAACTTATTTATTTGCACTAAAAACACTCACTGGTCACTGGTAGTTAATCATTTGTATTTACTGCAATATATATATAATAATATATATATGTATATATGTATAATATATATATGTATATTTTCAGTATTACTGAAAAATAGAATATGACAAACACTGGAAATGTAAGTTCTTATCGTAATGACCAAAAATAGACGACAAAAGTGATGCTGAGGTTATTTGGGTATTCATAAATCTAGAAGATAGATAATACAAAAACAAAGATTAGAAAGGAGGCAAAGCAGTGCACACTTGTAACCTCAGCACTCACGGAATCTGAAGCTGGAGCATTGCAAGTTTGAGTCTATCCCAGCCTGGGTAATTTAATGACTTAGCAAGACCCTGTCTCAAGAAAAGAAAAAAAAAAAAAAAAAGCAGTGCCAGAGTTTATTTGAAAAAGTCAAGGTGGATGGTAAGTGACAAACTGGCTCTGCAGAGTGAACTTCGGCTGAACAAAAGAGAGGAAAAATTAAAAAGCAAGATACATAGCTAAATGGATGCATATTGAGGCCATATTCTTTAAGTGAAATAAATAGGACACACATGGGTAAATACCGAATAGTTTCTTTAGTGTGAGAAACTGAAAGTGTAAATAAGGATTAAAAGGATTAATAACTAATAATTGATACTTTGAAATAGGAAAAGATCCAAAGGGGTAGGGGTGGTGGGAGGAGATGGGGAAAGGAAAGAATGGGAAGGAAAAATTATGAGAAAAGAAAAAAAAAATGGAAATGAAG